ACCGAAATTTGTCAGCCAGGACTCATAGGAGCACCTGCAGAAAGCCTGGGACCAATCTGTTTTTCTCTCCTCGATTAGCGCTGGTTGACGGGACTCAAGACCAATAATGCACACAAAGCAACTCCAAGGAAGTTGAAAGAGAGCGTCTCTCTAACCGTGCGTGTGTGAAAAGTCTTTTCCACTGAGTGAGGCTGTTTTGAGACAATAGGCCTATTTTGTGTGTGCATTTATGTGAGTGAGTGCGGAACAGACACGTAGTCTGTGGCACGAATTGTTTTAAAATTGGGGATTGGGGAAAGAAAAATCACCATCATAATCCGGCTAGCCCTTCAGCGCCAGCTGTGGGCTCAAGGCTGGAGCCGAACAACAACACCCTGATAACGACTGTGTTGAGTCTGTTCCTTCCAATTCCATGCAAGGCCACCTGGGTTGGCTGGAAGACTGTTCACTTAGCCTGGCAGGGCAAAGGACACTGTCTCAGCTGAAATATGGACATGCACACATATACATATACTGATACTGATAAGCACTCACTGACGCATCACCCTCCCTACCCCGGATCCAACACCACCTCCAACGCTTACCTCCCCTCTGATGTGGACATCGGGTCAGCTGGAGGCGCAGTCGAAGATTGCAGCGGTCCCAGATCAGATGTACACACTGGAACACTTTCCCATGTGCTGTTTTTCCCTTGTCTGTGTTTATTGTGCTATGGTGTGTTGATATCTGTGCATTCCTGTGTTACACATTTCGACGTTTTTTTTCCTCGCTATCTAGCCTGAACTTTCTCCCCAATGTGATGTTTGTGTATTGTATGTACGGTCGGCAAGGTCTGTCATCTCGGTTGCAACTGACAAATAAAGGCTATCTCATCATCTCATCTCATCATCAAAGAAACCTGATTGTTTTATTAGCTTAATAAAAGGAAGACTAGAAGTTAAAAAGGGTTGGGAATGGACCACAATGAATAAACACAAGTGCAAGAGAAATAACGTAAAATAAACTACAGCTTAGCTATAATGTGTTCAAACTGATAATAGCAAGAACAAAAACTATAAATTGGTTTTAATAATGAAACATAGCTGGGATGAAAACCATGCCTAGAATTCACTGGCGGTCCTAGCCTGTTTGGTGCCCCGGGCGAACACTCCCTCTGGCAATGACTAATTAATATTAAAATCTGTACCATAATGTATTGTTTCGAGTTTAGTTTGTTACTGTTACTATTTTTACCATTTTTACCAATTTTTACATTATTTCCTTAGGGATTAATAAAGTATTCCGATTCTGATTGTTTCAGGATGACCTGCCATTATCCAATCACACATCTGCTTACCTGTATCTTTTGCTCGTTTCTCCTCCTCTTCTTTTCTATTTTTTCTAAACTGAGCACCTGATGGCTTTCAACTTTTCTTGTCCATCTTCCACTGGTTTTAATTTTGCACTCCAGTATGAACACCCATCCCTCAACCCGAGGATCACCACAGCATAACCTAATAGACCTACACCATAGTTCACAGATTCACTTTGTCTAGGGTGCATTTCTGAGATTTCACACAACCCAGGATTCAAATCATGAATACATAATGGGCTTGGATTTACAACATTATAAATGAAATGTGCTCTATTTGGAAGCAGCCGGCCCCTCTCCCCTTTCGACGGCTTGTGTGTGAGACTTTAAATCATCAAACTGTAAATTTTAAATTGTTATTAATCCCTTTACCCCTGGTCCTAAAGTGTATATTTATTTTCTTACTCTTCTTATATTTATTGTTTGTTTACTTGCTGTAACTGTAACTGGAGCCTTGTCATCTCGTCTCTCTATATGCTGGACTGTATGTAGAAGAGATGACAATAAAGTTTACTTTGACTTCAGGAGCGAGCAGGCGCACCGAGGGCTCTCACGCTCACTTTTCTCGTATAGAATTTCGAAAAAACATCGGTGCAAATTATAAGTCTGTATCATAATGTCTGGTGTTTTCATGTTTGTTGTTTTGTTTTTATTTTGTTTTTATTTTGCGAGTTGGTTATTAGATGCTGCTCCAGCCAGCCAGAGAATCCCCCACCGCCCCGCCCTCTCCTCTCTGTTTGCAAGCAGCAGGCGCACCTCGCAAACAGAGGGCGCACTTACTCCCAGCAAATGGGCGATAGAAAACTGATCGGTGCCTATGCCATTCCCACTGGCATGATGTCGGGGCAGCATGAAAAAGAGCATTTTTTTTTTTGTTGCCGATGCCCGTGATGCCGCCCCCCGCCACGATGCCACCCCGGGCAACCGCCCGTGTCGCCCGTATCAAAAACCGCTACTGCTAGAATGACTAGATTGTAGTGTAGTAAATGACTCACACAAACATATTAAATGAAATGGAGAGATGTAGAATGTAAATTAAGGTTTGACACTCAGCAGAGGAAAGTGTGTGAAAAGGAAAATGTCTCCAACTTGGGAAAGGGTGGAACTGCAGATCACCAGCTGCCCTAGGCTGGACACAAAAAAGAAACAACATGTACATTGTTGATGACAAATAATAATAGGAAAAGGATTTTGTGTTTCTCAGACTGGAACAACTCCAATCTCACTTTCTGTTCTTAAGAAAGGAGAATTCAAAAACCAGAGAGAGGAGATGATGAGGAAAATGATGAAAATCTCTCAGTCTGTCACTTGCAAGTGAAGAGCAGACCTGGATCAATTTTCCACATGCAGCGGTCAGAAGAAAATTATAGGTTAACATCATTGGAAACGTTCAGGCCAAGTTTCTGGCTGAATTGTTTACAGCGCCATGTGTCCCTCATCCTATCAAGCAAGTCCTCTCTGAAGACAAGGGATGCAGTTCCAAAGAGCAACAGCATCCCTTGTCTTCAGAGAGGTCCAAGAGACAGCAGCAGGGTCCTGAGCAGAAAGGCCCCAGCAGCAGTGTGTGCAAACAGCATCAGAGAAGAAGAGAAAACCCATCATCCTGACTGCCTGGATGGATGGCACCATATTTCCAGCAAGCTGCAACTTCACTGTGTGTAGGACCTTTGAGGAGACTGTCTGAGTTGATATTTGCCACGTTTGGAGTGGAATGACAATGAAAAAGACAGTGGGGACTGCACAGGACAAAGCTGAGCCGCTACACTGCTTTGAGTTGGAGGGTGTACAATGGAGCAGGTGGGGGCACAGAGGAATGCTGTTATTTAACCCTGATGCACCCGCCAGGGGGAGAGCGGCGGGGTCGGGGGATGCGGGTCCCCCGCGGAAGGAGGGAGGGAGGGAGGGAGGAGGTCGGGGTCGCGAGATCCCCCCCCGAGGGGATGGGACGGGATGCGA